ATTGTTTTATGCATCATCTTATATTGATACTGTAATGGCACCATATATAGTAAATCAATTTAGCAAATCTCGGCTAATAATCCCAAAACCTGTTATTCATGCTTTTGATTGACTTTGGATGCCTCACTAATTACTCCAAATACCTGTTATTCGTGCTTTCGATCAACTTAGGATGAGTGTTCCAGTGTGAAAGGGAACCCATCTCCATTTACTCGAGAGAGTTTGCTATATCAATCACAAAACGATATTTCACGTCCTTCTTGATCATCCTCTCTAGAGCATCATTTGCATATTGGATGGGAATTACTTCTATGTTTGGGTAAATCTTGTTGGAAGCACAAAAATCCAGCATTTCTTGTGTTTGCTTTGTTCCACCAGTTACACTTCTTGAAATGGATTTAGCACCTGAAAGGAACAGATCAACTAAAATTCTTAAAGACGGGGTCTCATCTCAATCGCAAAAAAGAACAAGAGCAAATTACTGATTTACAATAAATAATCAAAAGTTTGATACAATTTCATACCCAAGTTTAAGCTCCCCGGACTGAATTTCACTTCGCTCGGGAACCCTACTAGAACAAGGACACCAGCAGTTTTCAACAAGGACAAATATAAATCAAATGAGATATCTCCAGATGCTGTGTCCAGTATGAAGTCAAATGAATTACACAAAGCCTGATAATCCATCAAGTTCAAATCAACTTTGTTAGTTCCTTAATCACCATTTTCAATCCATCATTTGACTAGTGATTTGATAGGTACACAATGAAAAGCCAAATAAATTGCTCCAAAAACATTGCAGTAGCTTAATTACCTTCATCTGATGTTCGTCGGTGGAGACTACAAAATTGTCTGCTCCAAGAAGAGTTAAAGCTTCTTCTCTCTTGGATACACTTGTGCTAAAAACTGTTACCTTCAGTCGAAAAGCCTTCCCAAACTTTACAGCAAGGTGACCTAGTCCACCGAGCCCAATCACCCCAAAAGATTTGCCAGGCTGATTCATGTTATGCCTTATCATGGGAGTGTAAACAGTAATACCAGCACAGAGCAAAGGTGCTGCTAGTTCCGGTGGGTAACTTTCGGGCATCATGAAGCAATACCTACAGAAAACTCAAGAAATTAATGAAAATCTAATGACTTCTCTTCTTTCTTCGCATTTGCAAAAGCATTTGCAAGAACAAACTATTCACCTCTCATGGACTACAATGTAACTAGAATATCCTCCCTTAGTGATAGTACCATCCACATCTATCCCATCAAATGTCAAAACTGCTCCCTTAGAGCAATGAACTTCTAATCCATCATCACAATATTGACACTCTCTGCAAGAGTTAACATAAGTTCCAACTCCAACATAGTCACCAACTTTAAAGCGCTGGACATTTGAACCAACCTCTTTAACGATCCCAACAATCTCATGTCTGTTAGGCAGAGGAACCGTAAATCGGTTAGAAATAAGAGTTCAAATGCAAATTGGCATTGATTATCTGCTTTATATAAATCGATGCATGCTTTTACCCAGGCACTAAAGGATACTTTGAATGTCCCATTTTGTTCCGGGTCNTAAATGCAAATTGGCATTGATTATCTGCTTTATATAAATCGATGCATGCTTTTACCCAGGCACTAAAGTATACTTTGAATGTCCCATTTAGTTCCGGTTCCAAACTACGTCAGCATAACAAACTCCACAGTATGCGATGTCTAGTGAAACATCATCGCTCCCCACAGCCCTGTTGAGATGTACACAGTTGTGCTTAAAAAGAATGCTGCAATAGAAACTTTTATAGCAAAGAAGTATTTCGAGGTAAAAAATTAAAACTTGAATACACTTGTAGTGTTGTTGTCATGAGATGAAACAAAATGGACGCAGGTAATTGTGGCATAAAGAATTAAAATTTTCAGTCTGCAGTACAATAAGTATTCTAAGCTCGCAGAAAATTCAACAAGGAAACACGAAGTTTCCAATTTGTCTCTTTACCCAAGTAAAAGAAACACAAATTTTATTCTTCTCCAAATGAGAACATATACTGGGAGACAGACTATTGTGCAGGCTGGGCTTCTCCATTGTGGACAAAAAGATACCTATTAATCAAACATAGGCTTGTTTGCTGGAAAGGAAACTTGATAGACTCGTACCTTCGGCTGAATTTGTATGGAGACAGAATTCCAGAAGGATCTCTAGCTGCCCAACCAAGGCATTCCCCATTTGCATTTGCAGTTCCAGAAGTCATATTCACTGATCTACATATGGCAAATAGAAAATAAATGGAAACGAATAAATGGAAGGAAAGATCAAAGTAGTTCGCCACTTAAGTGAGTGTTCTCGGTTATACAACCCAACCAAAGGAATCTAACAAGGAATATTGGAGCTCAAAGAAATATACCAAAGACATACAGAGTTTCCTAAAACATTGATAACACCTTTCAAATGGAACTAGATTTATTCAAGCACTGAAAGCTGTTCCTCAATATACAATTTAAGACTTACTTGTACTCATAGACCATGTTAGGCCTTGGTATCGCGCTCTTAATACCGTCGAAATAAGTCAAAAGACTTCTTTTGTCTTTTATGCTATGCCAAACATGCCTATCTGTCTAATATCGCGCTCTTAGTATGCACATAAATCCTATTGATGTTTACATGAATCAAACTAAGTAACTTGGGTACCATCTTCAATAAATACATATCTCCTTTTCAAGATTCATCTTCACACACTCCTTTATGAGGAAAATAAACATAGTTCCTAGTCCAATCATACTTGATTCTAACAGAACCCGGAAATCAAATCATAGTAGCAATACTTTGACATGGATCAGAACAAGATATTCGGCTTACCCCGAGAGTAAACGTAGATTCCAGTCCGTTAAACTCAGAGAATGGTGTGTTTCCGGGCACCGTTAGTGTGTGTTTCTC